CACAATACCGACAAGTGATTAATAAAAGTCAAAAGACCAAAGAGGTCACCTTAATACCAAAAAAAAAAAAAAAAAACACTATTAAAAAAACAAAATATTATAGAACTCAAGACTTTTTACCTGAGCTCTAGAAAATATTATAAAAAATATAATTTAATTAAATCATTCCATAAAAAAAAACATTAGAATATTACAAATTATCTTTGTAATAAGATTTATTTACCTTATTTACTTGTTTATTCTTGAAATCATTTTTTTTTGATTTCTTTGAAACTTTAAAATTTTGGGTGATTTTGAATTTGCACTTTCGGAATAAACTTTTTTGTTCATCAATTTCATCATCTAAATTCGAATCAGGTTGTTCATCTAAATCCGAATCAGGTTGTGTATCATTATCTTCAGCCTATAGATTTTTATTATATTAGTATTGAAGATTTTAAAATCAAAATTTTAGATAATAATCATTTGAAGCTGAACAGTTTCAAGCTGTTAGAAATAATTAATGATAATTATACTAAAAATTTTATTTTAATTCTTACTTCTTGGTTCCTTGCTTTTATTGACAAAAAATTCCTGTTTAAAAAAAATATAATTAGAGTCATTCAAAATTAATTAATTGTAATTAATTGGTTGGTTTCATAACACAGTTCAAATTTATAATATCTAGATGGGTTTAGAAATTTTTTTGTAAAATTTATATATAAAAATTTAAAAAAAGCCAGAGGCCAGACTATTTAAAAATCTCATTATAAAAACTAATGCAATTAAGAAATAATAAAAATAATATATAATAAGAAATAATAATATATTATTATTATTATTATTATATATGAATTAAAATTCTTATCAGAATAGGGTCATTAACAAAAACAAAAGATTGATGCTTAAAATAATAAAAATAGTTAAACATCATACTCACCAGATTTATCATTGATAATGTAAATTCTTTACCTGAAAATCCATTAATTTATCAGATTGATTTTGTTCATTAATATTTAACAATGAAGTAGATAGCTTTTGTTGATTGTCAATAATTGATGAAATTGCAAGCATTTCCTTAATTAAAACAGCAAAAGAAATAAGTATATGTAAAAAGAAGAAAAAAAGATAAGCTGATAATAATGCTACAAACATTTTTATTTCTTTCTGCAATTTTAGACACGTTTGCTTCTCCAACATCAGGATCTTTTTTAATTATATAATTCAAATAATACAATAATTGTCAAAATTTATTAGTTTTTTTTTGGTACAAGATAATAAGCAAATTGATCAATAGTTTCTAATTATTATAATAGGAATTAATTCTTACTTGATTCATATTAGCATGCTTGAATTTTATTTCTTTACCAAACTCTGGATCATTTGATGTTTGTGAAAAGTTCACTATCTTATTAGAACTTTGAAGCCCACCACTTGCTTGCAATTCATTGGCAGCAATATTTTAGAAGATATATTAATTTACTGTTTGAAATGCTTTGTTTTAGAAAAAATATCTAATTACATACCATTAAGATCAGCATCAGATGATTCAGATAGAGAATATTCCATTCGTTCTTTTTTATTTTTGTATAATATTCAACATTGTCAATTAACAATATTTTTGCAAAGGTAAGAAATAAATGTATATTTTAAATTATATAAAATAAAAATTGAAACAAGTAAATTGATTACTAACAATATTCTATTGCTGACTTATTTGAATATCTACTATTTCATCACATTTATCTTCCACTGTTATTCATTTACTATATTACTAGTATTTTCTTGAACATTATTGGTAACTAACAATTGGTTCTAAAATTTATAAGCTTTAAATATTCATGATATGTACCTTAATAAACCAGAACATTTAAATTTTATAGTTACCAATGCTTTGTTAATACTTTGCAGAGAACTATGCATGGCCTTATGCAATAAAGTTAAAGCTGCATCAAACTTCTGCTCATCATTTTCTTCATCAAAGTTAGAATATTCATCTAAAAGAGAGTCAGCATGTTGTATCAATTTCTTTTGAATTTTAATTATTAAGAATATTTTTAATTATATTAGAAAAAATGAAATCTAGTGATCTCAAATATAATAAAAAACTGTTCTAAGAATTTTAAGTATGTGATATTAAATAAATTTTGAAGTTTTAATGCATACTTTTTTTTCTTTAAGGCTTGAAGGTATGGATATGGGATTGCCAGAATCATTAGAGTTTTGATTATTTATCAATAAAAAAGTACTATCTGCCTTAACATCAAAGCTAGAATTTTGTGCACTTTCTTGAATGACTATTTCTGTTGATGAATTACTAGGTCCCTTTATAAGTTTTTTGCCTTGTTAGTTTCTATATATGACAAACTTAAAAGATAATGTAATTACCTTATCATCATTGATTGCAACTTCCTTTTTATTCTGTTTGATAACTCTTAAAATTTTTATGAAGTTTTCTCTAGTAATAAGGACTACCTTTGGCACATCTAAATTTAATGTCTTGAAAGTCCTATTGACCAAGTTAAAGGTAACTGTGAATAATAGATTTTCATTAAAAGTAACTGAATTTATTTTCCTTCAGTTGCTTTTCATGCAATATTTTATAAGTTCATCTTTATTATCCACTGTCTCAATCATTCTTTAATTTTTTTTTAAAAAGAAGATATGAATTTACTTGAACTGTAATATTTATAAATGTTTTCTTAAATAATGTGATCATAATTTTAACTAATTTTTAATATAACTAACTCGAGAGTATTCTATTTGATTATTATTACAATATAATGACATATGAGTGATGCACAGGAAAAACCTGTAAGTAAATTTTATTCGAATAAAAGATTACTTACAGGTTTTCAATATTTGGAGCCAATGTCCTGCTCAAGAAGGTTATTTACTACATGGTATTGTGGTCAAAAAAACTTGCTCAAGAAAAAAGATATTACAAATTAACCAACAAGCCATTGAAGCATATGGCTTCAGAGCTGATGTCCTGCTCAAGAAGGTTAATTGTTGCAATACCAAAATAGTCCAACCAGAATTAACTTAAAAGTTTATTTTTAATATTAAGGTTTATCATTATTTATTTTCTTTATTCCTGTGTATATATGTCTATGCATGTGTGTATGTTGTGGAAAAAAAAATGCCATAAAAAAAAGTAATTTTTTTTCTTTTAATTGATAGGAAAAAAAAGTAGGTCATTTATAGTATTCCATGTTCATAAGAGAAAAAAAAGAACTGCTTTCTTATTTTAGTTATCAATTAAAACATAAATAGAAAAGCCCAAAACATGTACTTAACCAAAATGGTTTTACCAATTTACTTATATAGCACATGACCTTTACAAAATGCAAAAGCTATTTTCCCATCCTTCAGTAAAGTGATTTATATTTTACAATTTTTCTTATTTAATTGATTTATTATTAATGTCACAGAATCATCTCAATTTAATTTCTTATTTTGAACAAATCTATAGTGAGTAATAGAAAAATTTGTCTCAAGATTTTATTACTTTAGGATTTGAGATCTTTCTTATTAATTCGATAAAAAAGTACAAAGTTTATTATAAACAGAATTGATAATAGAAATTGTTAATGGTGGGATAAATTATTTAAGATAATGTTTTGATAATAAGAAATTAAATATTATTCCAAAAAATATTACATGTTCTTTTAAAAAAATAATAAGGCAGACTTAAAGAAATTAATAAAACAAATTATTGTGATAAAGAATGCTTTGATATTAGTAAAATAGGCAATATAAATTTTTTAATCATGGCAGAATTATAAAGCTTGTGAAAATATATTATACATTTGGTTATTCAAATATAATGATGATAAAGTTGAAGAGATAATCTTTAATTATATCAATTATTAATTATTTTATTTATTATCAGGAAAACATATATATATACATGTTAATATTTATAGTTTCACGTATTCTACAAGAAAAACTAATGAAATGTCATAAAAAGAAAGTCTAGATGTTAGTATCAAAGTTTAAATATTATTCATTAAAGAAAGTTATAGTTTATTGAATTAGACTTTCTGGCATCAAAATTAATTAATAACCAATATAAAAGTAGATTCTCTAAATATTTCACATGTAAAAATTAAATAAATACTTATCAATTTTTTTTAACTGGATAATTTTTTTTTGTACTTGATGAATATAAGCCAAATATTCAAATTTTTAAAAATTGAATTCAATATTTATTTGTATCAGGAGTTGTGTCAAACCAATAATTGAATAATTTAAAATAATATAGAATATATAATGTTTATGAGCTATTTATATCAATTTAATAGCAAGTTTTATAAGTTTTTCTTTGAACATGTTTGACATTAACATAAATTATTTTATAAGAATCCAATTAGAATTCATTTTATAGTTATAAACTTATTGTTAAGAAGCAACTTATATATCCAAGTCAAAAGTAGTGTCATATGTTTCACCAAAAACAAAATTGCTGCTATTGCCAGAATTTCAACAATGCCAAAGCACAAAGTATACAAAATTCTACGATTATTATCCAAAGTATAGGGAATTTCTAGAGAATTTTCCAAGTAAACTAACATGTAAACCATTACAAAAGTATGCATCATTAGTAATATATAAATCTAAGCTCATTTTCTCTTGGACCAAAATTATGTTTACCAAAATTACAAATTAATTCTACCAAAATGATGTTTACCAGAGTTACAAATTAATTTTACCAAAATTATATTTACCAGAGTTACAAATCGACATTTACAACTAATGTTATATAATGCGACAATCTAATGATAATCATAAAACTCTTGTATAACCTAAAAATTAGAAAAAATCAGGCTCTTTACATTTCTTAAATAAATAGAGTTTAAAAACTATAATCATTATCTAACAACTATATCAAAATTTACAAATGAACTCACCTTCAATTTTTTAAGAAGAATGAAATTTCTACATAGAATTTGTATAATTTCTTACTTTATCATATCAAGCAACAAGATTTGTGATGGATCTGCTACTAGAAAATGGTTATTATGCAAGCTTTTTAGGATATTTTAAGAATGAACATGGTGATGAAAGAGATTTTCTTCTAAAGCAATATAAGGTAAATTTGAAACTTATATAAAATATAACCAATATCTGTGATATATTTTACAGTGTAAGTCTTTAGAAAAACATGACATCTGCAAGAGTAAAGATCTTATAGGAAGTTATTTCTGGAAATGATGTAAAAGAACTTCAATTAGTTTTTGAAACTGTATTAACCCTAAAGAACAATTATTTACAATCTAAAGACACCACAGTAATTAAAAGAATTGTATTTTTCTTTTCAACAAATTTAGCAAATTTTATTTTTGTTTTACTTAGAATGATAAGATTTTATTAGCGAGTTGGCAATATCTCTACAAGCTATTTATTGATCATATAAATTCAGTAGAATATAATAATGACATCAAATACTTTGAGTAAATAAATTATGTTTACATATGTGTTTTATTAATAGTTACTAATCGTTGTTATCAATTTATAGTCCTATTAAAAGTAGCGTAATATGTGTAGATATTCTGGACCCTCAATTAAAGAAAAAATTGTCAAAAAATGACTTGGATAATTTATTAGAAAAATTATCTATTCCAATCAATGATTCTAATGCTTTACATATAAAGAGCTATGTAGATGATATTCCAAATTGGTATACTGGTTTAAATACTGCACTGTTATGCAATAATTCAAAAAAGTCAAAAATTTCTTCAAATTGTAGTCATGAAGAAAAAATACAATGTGAAATATATCAAACTATTTTGAACCATATGTAAGTAAATAGTCGATTCATTATATATAGTAGTTTATTTAGTTGTTTAATTTAAAATTCTCATTTGTAAAGAACAAACTATCTGGTCAAATTCATATAATATAAACAAGATTAGTGAACAACAATACACATCTGATACAATTTATAGTTTCATATTCAGATCAATAAGGCATATTAATGATAACCTTTATATATTATTGTAAGCATGAATATATTTTAATTAGTTGCTATTTTTATTTTTTTATTTAATTGATGTACACTTAATAATAGTGGTGAGATAACATCTACTAGATCTACTCAAAGAAAATGCCTTTATAAATTATTTGGATTAAATAAGAAGAAAAGTACAATAGGTTGCCATTGTGATTTAATTTTATGTGATCAATATGATTATGTACATTTGGTTGGTGAAGTGAGTGAACCACCCTCAAAAAAACTTTCAAATAAAGAAAGATTTGATCTTGGTAGAAACAATCACAATGCTAAAGATGAAAAAAGCTTATGCAAACTAGCTATAATTGCAGAGTTTGGACCAATTTTAGAGGAATCAGATTTAGATATTCTGTTAAATGAATTATATGTATTCATGATTCAAGTAAAAAGTAGCATTGTTTTGCTAAGTTTATTTATTTATTTATAATAATAATCATTAATATTTATGCAGAAAAAACAATAGAAACATCTGTTCTTGATCATATGATGCAACAAATTTATTGTTCAAGACTTCTAAACTGGGCTAAGATCTTTTTGAACAAAAAGATTATGGATAAAGTAGATTTTCTACAATTTTTATTCACTGTTTATGAATTAATCGTGAGTATTTATTAACATCAATGAGACATTATATTTAAGATTTCTAACAATGTAATTCAAGGCTTCCATAATTAGGTTGCCATTGCTAAAAATGCAAATAAAATGGACAAGTTGATGAACAAGCTTTCAAGAAAGAAGCAAGAATGGAAGGCCAATAATATTAATACTGACTTTGACTTTTTGACAATAAGTGATGCTGAAAAAAAATTGGTCTTATTACAAGCAATTACTTTATCAACTCCATCATCTTCACTATTAAGTGATGATGCACCCAATTCTCTAAAAGCATCAATAGTAAATTTATTGGATTTTTTTATTACTCCAGCATGAGCAAAAGAAACTCTTAGAGAAATGAACTTTTTATTTACTTTAGAGCATGTTTTTGCTATTGACATCATTCTTCATACATCAGAACATTTGACAATATATGCTGATAATGATGATTTAATTCCTAATATTAAAATTTAAAAGTCTATTTTAATTATAAAAAATGTTATTAATCAGACTTTCTATTATTAATAGATTAGAAAGATTAACAACATGGCTTATAATTAGAAATGAATTAATAAGTTTAAGCATGAATTATTATGAAAAAGATTGTTAGTCTGAATAAATTTATTTTTTTAAATAGTTTTAAAATGTCAACAGTCCAGCTTATAATAAATAGTGCTATTGACTAATTATATAACAAAAAACTTGTGCAATTCGATATTGTGATTTTGAATTGTTATTAATATAATATAAACACTACTAAATGATAGTATTTTAAAAGAACATATTTACATCATTTATTTACTCATTTTTTGACATTTTCCTATTCAAATAGAACTGCTTAAAGAAATTATTTTTGCCATAGATAATAATTTCGGGTATTCAAATTTTCAATTATTATACATATCGTTATTAGCTTGAAAAATCCTGTAATATATTTATTAATACTTTAGAGATCTTAACACTTAGTATATCATGAGAATGAATTGTTGTTGGCCTAGACAATTGATTAACTTATTTATTAATTCAGTAATTGGCTTTTAGTAGTAATTATGCTATAATATGTTGACCTGAAATTGAACTTGAATTGTATTGCTACGTAAATATCTGCATTTTGCAACTAACAGAATGACTATGTTATTTAATACTACTATATTCATATTAATGTATATTTACTTATAATGAATTTAATAAATTTTGGAAGTTTAAGTGTTTTAGTATAAAATACCTATATTATTGGAATTTTAACTCAAATTATTAAGATATAATTGCAAATTAGTTTTAAAACTTTTATTTTAAAAAATTTACTGGGTTTAAAAAATTATTTTTGAATTTAACATATATCGATATTACAGATATTAGGTTTGTGAACCTCATATTGTATAAAAAATAAACTTATATAGATATGCCAAATATTAATTCAGCTAAAAAATTGTTGAAGAAATTTAATGAGAGCAAAACACAAGAAAACTTTTTCTGAAAATAATATTAAACATAAGAGTATTTGAATTAATACTACTGAGTATATTTATTTAGGCAAATTTGATATAAATTTGGACAAAATTAGAATATAAAATTTGGCAGAATTAGGGCTTAATTTGGGCAAAATTAGAATATAAATTTGGGTAAAATTAAGGTAGAAATTATTAATTTAGACAGAATTTGATTATAAATATGGCAAAATTACAGTATAATCTTGGCAGAATTAGGGGTAAAATTGGAATATAAATTTGGGCAGAATTAGAATATAAATTATTTAGGCAGAATTAAGTACAAATTTGGGCAAAATTAGAATCTCCAGAATTCGATATAACAATAAGTAAAGATGTATTATATAACAATAACTTACAAAATTGTAATGTAACTTTACATTGAATAGTACATTGTCACTAGGGTTAAAAATTACATTTTACAATATTACATTTCACGTAATTTTGCATAAATTTCAGTAAAATGGATTACATATAAATTTCATTTCATGTAATATAAAGTACCAGCATTATGAAAGCTTAGCTAGCATTATCGAATTATGCAAATATTAATTACCACTACTCTATGATTACATATTTTATGCATCGATATGCACAAACTTTGGATAAAGCTTGCCAATATACTCATATGATTTAGCTGGATTTAGTTGATCACATGAATTACAAATTACATAAAAACTATGTTACCATAAACTTACACAAAATTACACAAAATTACTTAATTTTACAATCTTAATTGTCATATAATAATTTTACCAACATTACAAAAGTTAGCCAGCACTAATAGATATTAATCATTATGTTCAGAATTGTAATTTTTATTTGTTTTTATGTCAGCATTATAAAAATGTTTGCAAAAATTATTCATATAATAAAAATTACATATGAGACAAACAAATTCAGAAAGGATCATTACAAAAGCATATGATTCATTACTTTTTGTTTTTGTGAGAGCACAATAAAAAATTTTTCTCGATATCATCACCATGATAGTATTATGAATGATATAGAAGTTTTATGTTTGAAAAATCATTTGATTATTTTGAATGCACTATGAATCCTTAAATAGCAGAGTTGTCAATGGAATTTAGGATAATTCTTCCTACTCAATATCAAAACAAGAAATAAAATTTAATTACTTATAGATATTAACATAAACCGTTTATATAAATATACTATATAAATGGTTAGTTACAAGATATTTATGATAGAGGGTGACCTAGTGAAGTGGATAGGTTGTCAACTCCCAAGTGGCAGGTCTAGAGTTCAAATCCCAGTAACAGTGAAAATTTGCAATTCT